TGTGCTCAGGCCATAGAGACACATCTGTTTGTCATCAGTGATGCTCCCTGGGTGCAGACCTGAGTTGTGTGTGGAAACCGGCAGCTGCGCACACACGTAGCAGTTCACAGCATGTCCCTCATAAGCGGTTCTGTTCATCAGTTTCCACCACAGATTGGTACTGTAGTCATGCGGGTGGAACTCAGGCTCGCTTCCTCCTCCAAACATCAAGCATACAGCAGTCACAGCGCAGTAGAAGATCCATCTGGCATATGGAGTCCCCATTGCTGCTCGGCGTACAGAGATGTCAGAACCCCCAAACTAAAGGAGTGAGAATCTTAGCGTTTCTTCACCGGGTTTGAGACGAACTACAACTATAAAGTAGCTCCCCTTTGTACCCCGGAAGCTCTCAGAGCTCTCCTTCCTCTCTACTCCGGATTAGGGATCCAACACTCTCTGCAGCTTGCAGTGACTGAGATGTATCCAGCTGGGTCTTTCAGCAATCTTTACAGCTGTTGGTGTGGTCATCAGCACCTGGAACGGTCCTTCCCACCGTGGACTCGCCCAGTTCTTTCGTTTGATGACCTTTATGTAGACCCAGTCACCTTACTCGATTGGAGTGGCCTCCTGTGCAGGAAGAGAATCAAAAGGCAGTAACTTTGCTCTGGACACTTCCTTCAGTTTAAGAGTCCTGATCATATAATCTGCTAATGTCTGTTCTTCATCAGCTTTTTGTATTCTGGAGCAAACAGAGGCAATCTGTAAGCTCTCCCATGAATTATTTCAAAAGGTGTTAGACCATCAGCTGTCGGGGTGATTCTCATATAGAGCTTCACTAAGTCTAAGCATTCTGGCCAGGGCCGGCCAGTATCTGCCATGCATTTTCTTAATCTGCTTTTCACGGTACCATTTGTTCTTTCCACCAGCCCTGCACTCTGTGGGTGATAGGCACGGTGATTCTTTAATGTCATTCCCAAGTGTGTAGCTATGTTTTGTATCACTTGGTTTACAAAATGTGGTCCATTGTCACTATAAACAGTCTGGAAAACCATGTGTTGGGATAATAGTTTTACAAATAGCCTTAGCTACCGTCAAAGCATCTGCATGCTTTGCTGGAACTATTTCAACCCATTTCAATCATCATCTAACAGTATTTGTTAACTCAAAAGTTCATAACAAAAAAATTTTTTTTTTATGTAAGAATTTAGTAGTTATATAGTATGTAGTTATAGTATTACCTCACCATTTTCCCTTTTCCCCCCTTTTTACACATGGCATGGCCCATGTGTCACAATCACTTAAGCTTCTAATAAAGTCTTTGGGAGGATTAATATTTAATTCAGGTGAACTCAGGTTTATTGCTTTTAGAAGATATTTTAGCAGACACGTCTTTTAATTTCAGAGTTATCTTTTGTTTTTTCTTTGTTAAACTCGGCAGCTTTCAACATTTCTATTTAATTTCTCTAAAATAAAAATGACCATCTTTAATTTAAACCAAATCTCAAATCCTCTAATTCAAGATTTTTCTTTTTGAATTTATTGACTATCAATCAAATCTAGATTAAAATGTTTTAGACTGAAATCTAGAAAATGTTGCTTTTATTCACAATCATCAAGTTTTAGTAGCCAGTCATATCTGCCAAGTTGCGTAAAATCTCAGACTTTCACTTAACCTTGCATTTCAGTCAAGTTAACAACGTAAGTTATTTATATCTAATATGAAATGGTCAATAGTTTCATCCGTTACTCAATTTTGTAGTAACATTTCTCTCTTCTCATAATAATTTTCATTCATTCCAATATGAAAAATCCCACAAAAACAATCGATTTGTAAATTCTTTATAGAATTAAACTCTAAATTAAAATTTTCAGTTAAATTCAATGAAATATTTCATAATATTTCAACACTGCAATATCAATTGTTTTCAACACTTAGAGATGTTTAATTTATTTCCAAACTAGTAAATAAAACATTTGAAAATCATTATTAGCTTAGAATCTCTAATACCCTTTTTTTTTTCTTTAATTGGTGTAATTTAGTTGCATAGCTCTATCAGTTTTTCTTTTGTTTAACTTTTAATGATTATAATTTTTTCCTTCACAGTTTCCCAACCTATGGCTCGTGGGCCCTAAGAGGATCACTGGTCCTTCTGTTAAGGACTGAGTTAACAGATACAAAATGAACGATTTTATCCAACATTGTACCTAAAAACCTTTAAAATGTTCTGTTCTTGATAGATTATTCCTATATGCAAACAGGATTAGTGAGCACATTCTTTATCTCACAGTGGTGTGTGTATAACTTATCTCGCATTTCTCCACTGTCTCACTTCCCCCTCCTGCTGTTGGCGTCGCTGCAGCTGGTCCTCCCCCCGTCTCTCCTCCAGCTCCCTGTCAGTCCAACTAGCTCTGGTGTTGGATTATTTATAAGTTGTCCAGACCGTCCCTTAGTGAATGTCCAGGTTGTCCACCAATGAATTTAGTTCCAGTCCAAATGTCCAGCAGGACTCCATACAGTAGTTTGCTGCATGGCAGTTCCCAGATGTCCAGGAATCAGGATCAGCGGACATCTTAGTGCCTTCAAGTGGCAGAAATCATCGTGTCCTTTTTCGCTTCTTTATCAATTGTCATTAGCTGGTGATGAAGAAGGGACGTCATCTGATCGGCAGGACAGGTCTGAGTTGAGGTCGGAGGTCAGACTCACCGCAGCGAGGCTCAGACAGAGGAAAAGGAAAAAAGCAAATAAGAGTCCATTAGGGTTTGTT